TCCCACCTTGCTTGGACTCAGTTGTGTTTGGACTGAGGAATTAGTTCTACCAGATGACATCATGTTGATGTTGTACCCCCTATATTTCCCCTAATTCCAACAATTTATGTGACGATAGCAGAGAACATGGCCTGCTGAGGATGCTCCTTCTGTTGTCAGTGATCTCACTGATCCTATCCAAAGGAAAACCACATGGACCCAGTATTTCCCTCACAAAGTTTTCCCTGACAGCTGCAGCCTTCATGAAGGCAAGAATTCATCTGTCCACCATTCTGCACATGTTGTGGAGGCATGTACACCAGGCACTGCACAAGGCAGTGGAATTAGAATCAATAAAGACCCAGTCCTTGCTCCCAAGTCATTTCAGGCCTGTGGGGGACACAGAAAGGAAAACAAAATTAAAAAAATTCAGGGCTTCCCTGGGAGCACAAGGGATTAAGATGCAACTTATGAAGCTACCCACAGCCACTGCAGCACGAGTTCAATCCCCGGCCAGGGAGCTACCCTATGGCACAGCAGACCTCTCCTGCCTTGCCACTGTTCCGCTCAGCAGTGAATTTCAGTCAGTCTGCCTGTTCTGTTCCCCACACTGTCTCTGGTGAATCCTCACCCCCCCCATCTCTGGCCTGTACCCCAGTTCTTGTATGCGTAAATAAATAAATCCTTAAAAAAAATTCAGACCAGGTTCAGTCTTAACTGATCAGGTCTGGGTAGAGGATACAAATTAGGACTCTTATACCATAATTGGAAAATCTAAATAGTATATATCATGTTAGCACATCTGAAATATGTCTCTCCTGCAGAGACAGGAAGGTTCCTGGGACAAGAACAGGACTCAAGGATAAAATTTTGCTATTCAGTGTTGCTCTTCCTTTGGGCTGGTAAACAAGAAGTTTAATTTTTGATGATGCTAGGCCATGAATTTTCCTTGGCCCATTGTTTTTTATTATTAATTTTCCCCAGCTTGGGCGTTCCTGAACTATCTTTCTATGGCTTATCAAGTCGGCTACTATGGAAAAAGAGAGTCACAGGAGTCACAGACCTTGAGACCAGAGTGGTTCAAACTGAAGCTGCAGGCACTTGGAAATGGTCATTAGCCCTGCATGACCACCAAGCTACACTGATAGCGTTCACAATTAGCAACAAGAAATGAACTTTAGCCAACTCCTTGCTTTCTCAGTCCATAAAGTTTAATTCCTTGGTCCTTAAATCCCACACCTAAACCCTATGTAGATGCCCAGCCCTGGCACCTCAGAGTGCCTCTCATGCCCAAAGTGATCTTTCTGGAGCTCTCTTTCCTTGCTTTTTTGGTTATCAATAAACATTGACTCCTTACCTGCTGTCCCTGATGTCTCTGGAGTCCTCTTTTCACTCTTGACCAGAGGGTCTCAAGAACCCTTTCCCAGCTTAGGAACAAGGCTCTCTGTCCATCCCTCTGATTCTCAACAGGTGGAGAAGTGGACAGTAGCTTTTTCACTCCCTGTTTGTCCACCTGTATTGTAGGAGAGTGAGATGAGATTGAGGAACCCCCAGATCCTCTCTCTTGTTTGGTGGTGCTGCTATCTTAATAAATACAAAATTATCTAGAAAGTAGTTTCAAATTTAGAACCAGCAGAATAGGAAAAACCAGCCTCCAACTATGGCTCACTCTCATCTCTTCTAGCCCTCAGCTCCATGCTGCCCAGCAAAGGGCCTGGCACATGCATGTGTGAACAACCTCCTGTGTCCAAGGTTCCACCGACAGCCTGCATGAACAACTGTCCCTCGACAGGCCTCATGAAGCAACCCACACAATTCCTAGAAACAGATTTGGGGCAGAGAGCTGTAGAGTCTGGCTATGAAACATGTTCGAGGATGGGGGTGGGGAGTATTACAAAGGACACTACAAGAGGACAGAGAAGGGCTCCCCAAAGCAGGACTTCTCAATGCAGTACATATGCACAATGAATACTTCTCAGGTATAAAGAGAGAGAAATAGAGAGAGAGAGAGAGAGATGAAATCCTGCCACTACTATAGCACTGATGGACTTAGAGGGAATCATGCTTAGCAAAATAAGTCAGCCAGAGAAACATCTTAAGACTTTATTCATAGTGATAAATAGGAGAGCAAACAAATTGATAAATTAAATAAAACAAAAAGACTTTTACTGTAAGACTGATGGTTACCATAAGAGAAGGGGATGGGGCGAGGTTTGACCAAAGGGGACAATAGTATGGTGAAGGATAGAATTGGAATTTTAATGCTTAATTTATGGTAGTACTTCTACCATAAATTAATTTATGGAAGTACTTCAATACTTCTCAGGGCCTCCCTGATGGTGCAGGGGTTAAAGACACAGGTATCAAGCTATCACCAGTCACTACAGCATGACTTCAATCCCCAGCTGGCCAGGGAGCTACCCACATGGGTAGACCTCTCCTGCTCATCTGCTGCTCCCCTCAGGAGTGTGTTTCAGTAGATCTACCTGTTCTGCTTCCCACTCTGTCTCTGGTGAATCCTCTCACTCCCCCACACCTCTGGTCTACACCCCAGTTCTTGTATACATAAATAAATCTTTAAAAAAAATCAGTACTTCTGGGCCTCCCCTGGTGGCGCAGCAGTTGAGTGTTGGGCTGCGAGGCTGCCCGCAGCCTCTGCAGCATCAGTTCATTCCCAGGCTGCCGGCGAGGGTTCCGCAAAAAAAAAAAAAAAAATCAGTACTTCTCAGACATTTATACATGTAAGAGTCTCCTGAAAAAGAAGCATGTTAGAACACAGATTCCTGGGCCCATAGATGAGGCTTCTGTAGCTCTGGGGAGGGACCCAAGAATTTGTATTTCGAACAATGTCTGTAAGATGCTGATGTTGCCTGTGATGGTAAATTTCATGTGTGAACTTGACTGGACCATAAGATGCTGATGTGTAGGTGTGTCTATAAGGGTATTTCCAGAAGAGATTATGATTTGAATGGGGGGACTGAATAAAGCAGATGGCCCTTTCCAAGTGGGTAAGCATCTTTCAATCTATTGAGGTTCTGAATATTGTAAAAGGTGGAGGAAGCTTCATTACTTAGTTTTAACTAAGCGAAGCTAGCAAGGTGGAGGGAGAAAACAAGGGCGAATTCAAGCAAAGACATTCCTTTGGGAAGCATTTATGGGAAGGCAGGAGGATTAAATATGATAGTGAATTCAGGGAATTAAGAATAGATCCATTTATCTGCAGTAAAGGGTGAGCACAGGAAAACAGAAAAGAGGGCAGAGGTATTTGCACAGGAAAACATTGAGGCTTATATGCCCTAAGCAATATAGATTAAGAGAAAGACAAAGTAGGGGAAAAAAATGTGAGGTCCATTTTATACACATTCTGCCTATCTTTCAACGTCTATAGTAATTAATGTCTGCAGAATTTGTTTTGTAATTACTCACATACCTCAAGGTGAACTATCTGGTGGTATTTTTGAACAATTTATTGAAGTACTTTCATTGTTTCACTAGCCACATGTCTGTATCTTGACTTCTCAATAGCCTGAGTCATTTGTGAACAAGGACTGTGTGGGTGGGTTTCATAGAACACTCATTATTTGTTGATTTGGCTCAAAAATGACTGAAGTGTCAATACACTTTGCAAGGGAGTTATCATCAACGAAAATGTCAAGTTACTTCTTACTGAAAATGAATAAAACAAACAACATGGTATGTCCCTTATGAAGATACTTGGGGAAAATTTGTGTTTGTAGAACCCTTGATAGGCAAGTAGAGGCAACAAAACAAGCTCCTAAATGAAAAGTTTTCTGTATTGTGTCTTGATCTAAACAGTTTATAATTTTGGTCATAATCCCTCAAGTGGATTTTAAAATAGTGATATTGAACTTAGAATAGTCTCTAAAAATCTACCAATCTAATGTTTTTTTAATCTAATGAATTTTACCAACTTCCTTATATGTTCCTTTAACTATTGAATAAGAAAAAATTAAGACATTACATTTTAAACACATGTATCATAGGAAGTGGAATCATGGTGACCTTGAAGGAAGTAAATTCTCTTTAAGATGCAGGAGGTGTAGAGGGAACTCTGGAGTCCGGCTGTTTCTAAAGTTGCAGCAGAAAAACCTACAAAGTGGCCACTGAAAAGATCTATAGACTTCTGCACTTGCAATTTAGCATCAACTTAAGGAGCTATAATTTCTTAACTTCCTTTATAACCAAAGCATTATATGAAGTAGTTCTCCTCACAAAGAAGATCGTAATCAAATTTGAAAGAGCACCTTATGTCATGGTCAATTATGTGGCTAAAATTTGCAATAAGGAACACTTTTGTTAACCCCTACTATAGGAAATTCACAGTCTCCTTGGGCTGTGTAGATAAGGGGGGTGTCATCCTCCACCAAAGGATGGGAATGAGGGGAGCAGTACAGTGAACATTTTGTAATTATATCAAAGCTGCTACTCACACTTACCAAGAGAGCATTGTTTCTCCCAGTTTGACTAACTTTAGACAGATTCCTCCTGACTACAGGCTCCTGGCATCTCGTTTCTTAGAGCACTTACTCTAGAAACCAGCCATTATAAGCCTCTTTCTTTGCCTCTTCAAGATGTAAATCTTCTACGACCCAGGAATTGTCTTTCTCAAGAACCTGGGAAATGTCCCTTTGAATTGTAATCATCTAGAAAGATACAGCTCCTGTCTCCACCTCTCTTTGTGAGGGCAGGAATCTAATGTGGAGAAAGAAGATGAGAAGTACCCATGTGGCATCCCTGCTTTCTGTGATTCAAAGCTACGTTCACTTGTTGAAGTGGACCAGGGAGGATCTAGGACACAGTGGCAGGAAAAGACAGAAAGACCCATGAAATAAAAGTCCCTGGAGTGTATAGTCTGTTGATTCAGTTTTAAGACAAAAACTAAGGACTTGGGAAAGGGAGGTCTAATCTGGAAGACTGTATTGCACTTTGGGGAACAAGGAGTAAACTTGTAAGAGGGCCAGCTTGGACATACTGTGACCCAAGGACATACTGTGTTGAAGATGTCAGGAACCACCTTCAACATTAACACTTTCTGGATCCCACAAGACAGCTCCCTGTAGGGCTATAGTTTCCCTTTGTATGCTTTGTGATAAAAAGGACTGGAGGACCCCCAGAGTTCTTGGAGGTTAGAGAGCAGGATAGGTGAGACACAAGTTGAAAGTCTATGGGGCCGGTGGTCCAACAAGAGCTTAGAAATGTAAAGATATGTGAATGCATTTAAATAGGTAATACAATCATTTCAGAGCTGATCACCTACATATGCATTTTTTTTTTTAAATAAAAATAGCTATATGACAAAAAAAATACTTCTTTATTTTCTGGAGATCTTAAAGGAAGCTTTGTGGAGGTGGAGAAACTGGAATTCAATTACATTTGGACAAATGGAGCTGAAAATTCTACACCAGGAATAATTCCTAAGTGCATATCTTCTTTCTAGTGAATGTGACTTTGTCACAAAAAGATAAACAGTTGCGTAAGAGCCTTGGCTGGGACCCAGGAACCCTCTAAGAAGCATTTCTCTGTTCAGGTCCTCTGACTGTCTAACTGTTCAAGAAGGCAGCAGCATCCGAAATGGTGAGTCTGAATAACAAAATCTCTGTAAAGCTATATGTAAAGGTTCTGTGTTCAGGCACAATCCATAAAGTAATCCCAGATAAAATATTAATAGAATGACTTGACTTAACAAGAGTTTTGCTTTTAACTTAATAATTCTTATTATATAAACAAGACATCTCCATTATAGAACAATTAGAAAGCAAAGAAAACAAAACTTATAATCATGTCACTCATTTACATATAAGTATTTTAATATCTATTATATTTTGATGTATATATTTCCAAATTATATATCAATGTATGCCTTTTTTAAAGTAGAATATAATATGCCTATTTATTAACTGTGTTTTCTTAAATACATCATAAGATCTTTTCATAAACAATAAATATTGATGTTATCTTTACACACATACACACACACACACACACACTGAACACACAATAAAGATATATTTCTTTAGACTGACTAGTTCTCCAGCAACTATTCAGATTTATACCCAGTAACATGCACATTTGTATTTCTGGGGCTAATGGAATTTTAATGCTACTTTGTAAAATAACCTCACCCTTTTGTGAATCTGCATAAAGGCTACATATGACAGAGGGAGTTGTCATTTCCTTATCTTCTTATTGGTTATAATTCACCCTCCTTCCCCAATCACTATCCTGAGAAGAAAGGTATAAGCTGTTCTCTCACACAAAGTACTGAAATATCCCACTATTCTTGGCCATTGCCAAGAGACATATTTCAATGTGACAGATGGACGAATCTCACCCTCCCTATTGGGATAGAGAGGAGAGGATACCCACTTCCTGATGGCTGCATGCCTGATGTCTGTACTCTATCAATTGATCTTTCAGACCCTGACTATTACTTTGCATCATCTGCACTGTATTAAATCATTTCAGTCCTGCTGGATAACCAAGTAATTCTGCGAACCTTGGCTTGCTCTGTTCTCCAGTCCTACTTCTACTGCTGATTTGTCTTAAACTTTCTTAAATTAAAAGGCAGAAAGAATCTTTCACTCCCAGAAGCCATCAAGCCCCCTGCTGCTCTGACCCTTATCATAAATATATTAAGCAAAGAAAGGTTAAAAATCCACTGAAGGGAGCATGATCAGTCATGAGTCATTTATGCCCTGGGGTGAAATTAGACATAAATTAGGGTAAATCAATGCAGTGGTGTATCAGAGAGAAGAGGAAATAAGGGAAAACCCTAGACTCCCGCTCTATTAATATGGGTAAATATCATATGGTGGATAATTCTTCAAAGCTGTGGAAGGAAGTACAGGGAACAGCGGGCACTCCCAGGGGACCAGGCAGGACTGCTTTTGCTAGCAATGATTTCAAGTGTAATCCTTGTAATTCAAAACCAAATAGGCAAAGATGAATTTCTAAATTCACACCCCTTGAGTACAAATTAACTTCAGAGCCCCAGTCCAAAATTCTTGTATTATATTCCTTTGACAGATATGGGATTGTCGGTTCTGTGATTTTGCCATGTATTACCTAAAACGACCCCACACTCAAAGTGCCCTATTGTTCCCAGTGCACAGCTGCTGCTCACCACCATTTCCTGTGAATTACTCAATGACATAAGGATGATCTTTTTCCTGGTTCTCTGGCCTCCTACACCGCCATCCTGTCATTCAAAATAAATGTTCTCTCCTCCTTATGACCACATTAGCAAAGAAAAACCAAAAAACATTATATTTTTTTAAGTTAAAAATACACACAAGTTGGGGCCTCCCTGGTGGCGTAGGCGGTTGAGTGCAGCGCTGTGAACCTGTCCTTAGCCTCTGCAGTGCCGGTTTGATCCCCGCCGGCCTCGAAGCAACCCATATGGAGAGCAGACCTTTCCTGTCTCACCCGCTGCTCCCCTCAGCAGTGTATTTCATCAGTCTGCCTGTTCTGTTCCCCACTCTGTCTCTAGTGAATCCTCTCATCCTCCTGCGCACATCTGGCCTGTACCCCAGCCCTTGTATAAATAAAATAAATCTTAAAAAAAAAATACACACAGGCTAATAGACTATCAATAGGAAGTCAGTCTATATCTAGTTCTCAGGGAGCACTGATACTGCTTGTGGTGTAAGAATGTTTGGTCAGTACCTATTAACCATAATGGACCCTGGCCCTAATCAGTTACCTACAATGTTGTTTCATATTCTTTAAAAAAAAATTTAATACAGGTTAACAAATGCCATTCATTATGGGGGAGGGGTAAGGGAGGGAGGGAACTAGTAATCAAGATAGTCACATGATCTTGAGGGGATGGCCCCAAGCCTCTTTATCCCCACATATACTTTATCTCCAATTACACAGTAAATGCAGGAACTAGGAGTGTTAAAGGAGTGAAATCAGTGGTTTCTCCATGTCCTAGGATTACCGGTATTAGGAGGGAGACTACTAGGGCAATTTAACCCTTTTTTGCTTGTCACATTGATTTAAGCTAACCCAAAAGAACTTCTCCCCCTACTCATCAGCATCCACCTAGACTGCCAGAATTAAGCACCTTGAAATGCAATGACTTTGACTCTATCATTGGGCCCCTCAGATGTGCTGGGCTGGTGGCAAGTATCCCTGCCCTGGGCGACAAGCTGCTACCAGAGTGAGTGAAATAGCCAAACCACTTTCAGCATTTCGGCAGCACAATAAATCATTAGACCGACATTAATGTCACTGACCAGGACAAAACACACAAAGGGCCAAGCTAGGTTTGCCTTTTCAGGCTAAGAAAAAAATGAAACGACATCTCTATTTTTCATCTAGTTTTCTATAAAATGATAATAAATAAAAATAGGTCCCAGTGTGTCTTTCACAATTGAGTCCCAATTCCTCAATTGGGGTCTTATATTTTGGATAATAAAATTAGTACCCCAATTGGAAATCTTAGGCTAAGCCTTTTGCTTCTTTCTATCTGGAGAGTGATGGGTTCATTTCAAGGGGCACAAGCATCTGGAGTACAACGCTTACCACTCCTCTCCTCCTGCAGACACTGCCTAGGCCCAGCCTCCCTGAAGCATATAGCACATAGCAGGAAAGACTGCCCCATGCAGGGAGGACAGTAGCTGTCTTGAATGGCCTAAGACAAGGTGAGCAATTCCAATTCCAGGTGTCAATAATTAGAAACCCACAACTAAACTATGTTCTTTCATACATCCCAATGGATGTCGAAGCCAACATTTTTCTCCATCAAACCAGACTCATCTTAATTGGCAGGGGAGATAAGGGTGAAATTTATTAGTGCTTCCTACCCTAAAACCCAATAATTTACACCAAACTTTTATTCCACAACTACTTTAATCTATAGAAGAATAGATCAAGTATTAGATGAGGGAATATATAAATATATATGTACATACATAAACATATATCTGTACATATGTGTACATACGCATATGTACATCTACATTATTTATATGAAAATATTCCTATCTTATTATCTTCATATCTGAGTTATTTACATCTTATCAAGTTTAGTGAAATGTTAATTTCTAAAATGCAGCAATACTGTACTCCTTAACACAGAACTTGAACTTAGAAGAGTCCACAGATAAGTACAGGAATTTGTCTTTTAAACCACCTTTCAAAACTTACATTCATTGTTAGCATATATTAGTACAAGTTTTTGGAACAAGGATTAGTAAAATAACCCGTAGACCAAATCCGAGTTGTACCCTGTTTTTATACAGACCAAGAGTTAAAAAGAGAGGTTTCACATTTTCATTTTTTTTGCCTTTTTAAATTTTTTTTCATTTTTAACCAATATTTGCTTCCCCCCACCCCCTCAGGCGTAGTCCCCATAGAGTTTCCTTCACCAGTGCAACCGTGCACCATCACCTCAGTCCCCTGTGCTCCTCCCTTCTGCCCTCTGATCCCTTTCACATTTTTAAAAGATTATGAAGAAAAACAAAAAGGTTACATGTTAGAGGCCATAAGTGACCCATAAAGCCAAAAATATTTATTATCTTGCCCTTCGCTGGGAAAGCTTGCCAAACCCTCTCTAAACCAACTCTCCCTATGACCGCACCCCCCCCCACACACACACACACACTAACATTCTTGACTCCTACCGTCAGGTTCAAACTTCAACTTTAATGTTATTTGCTGTGTGACCTTAAGTACATTAAGGACTTCTCTGAGCATCAATTTCCTAGTCTTTAAAAGGGAATAATAATAGTACCTAATAGAATTTTTGTGAAACTTTAATAACATGAGGAGTGTAAAGGAACTATGATAGTGCCTGGCATGTAGAATTTTCAGTAGATGAACTATATTAATCAAGTCTATTCATATTAATGTATTTCTTGATTGTTGCACTCTCAACACCATACCTGGTGCCACAGTCCAACCCAGAGATAAATTATTTTTCATGTATTTAAAAACAGCTGTCTCCATCAATATAGTTCCTTCACCTTTTTCTATAAAAGCAAGCATTAAATTATTGATATATTGATAAGGCTGTATTCTAAGAAAGATTTCAAAAAAAATCTTAGCACAGCTTAATCAAGGTGCCTGGCAGCCCTTCCTAACTGATGTGAAAATTCTATTATATTCGGATCTTTGTATGAAATTAATGCAGCAGGAAGACAAGTAGCTCCTTCCAGAAAATAAGGGATAAATGAGTAATCATGCTCTCAATTAGGCAACTACAGAAACTACTAAGCTCAGTGTCTACAGTTAAAATAATATTGGGGTGATTGGGTAAAGTTTGTGTTTTGAAGACACACAAAAGGGGAAAAATATTTCTTCATTTTTGACATTATTGCAGAAGTTTCAAATCTTTTGTTTTTGCCCTCTTGAGCTAGCCCTTATCTAACATTTGTACTCACTGAACTGCCAACAATCTTAGCTCTTTCAAAAACATGTTCAGAAGAACCAGCTTCCCCTTCAGACATTGCTTGACTTGGCAATTTTCCCTTTGGCAGGAAAATCAAAAAAGAGCTGCCACTCATATTTGAGCACTTGTACTGATAGGGAAGGGGCTTCTTCTCTTCCCTGAAACACAAAAGTTCTTT